GTTCGATTATTGATCAAAGGATCCATGTAGCCGACCCCAACTAGCTTGGGGTTGAGGTTGTTGTTTTTGTTGTTGGAGGAGTTAAATTATATTTTAAATGCCCAGATGAACTATTTCATCAGATCCGTGGAAATCACTGATATTTAAGGTGAATGTTCAGTGATGATACTGATGGGCTGCTGTAGGATAATTGAGAGGCTGTTTTGGATCCATAGTTTTTTCTAAACTCATTGGTCAATATTTTAGACGGGCATGGTAATTGGTGTGAGACGTATGTTGAGACTATTTTGGATCTCATACTGTGGAGCCGGGCTCAGCAAGTATTACGTATAATTCTTGAAAATATATAAGCTTTAATCTATGATAGGAGGGGATTAAATCACAAGTGGTGATTAACTTGTATCGTTATCATTATGTCATAAGCGCCGGCAGACCAACATGTTCTCGAGATTTATAGAGTTCAATAATTGTTGCCCTGAAAAGGAGGGGGAGGTGAGGCTGTAAGTTTTGGTTTTGAAAGTTGAAATCTCTTCTCTCATGCCTGCCCTGAGCTGCTCATTACGTTTTATGTACACTGTTGAATTAGGCAAAAGGAATGTATTAATAGGATTCTTTAGATCCCTTGTTATTCTGGTTGAATGATTTCTCTTCTGTTTTCTTTTCTAGTCTGGGAATAGTATGGAAAATGTGGCTTCAGCCACCAATGACACTGAAATCTAGTCATTACCTTAAAAAAATTTAGGGAAGATGGCCAGCCACCATATCCATGTGCTTGGTATTTGAGACAGTTATTATCCTAATGCGGGAGCAGAGAGAAAAACATGGATCAGGGATGATCAATTTATCATTTCTGGAGGTCGATTAACTCAGAAACCTGGGGTTCTTCATTATGGAAACGCTACACAATTTTGAATGGCATCAAAATATGTCTTCCAATTTTGACATAAGCTGAATTTGAAACTATAATGTGTTGGAACAGGTGTATGACGTGACAAAATTCTTGGAAGACCATCCCGGTGGTGATGAGGTTTTGCTGTCAGCCACAGGTATGAAGACATATACCAAACAAAATTGTAATGATGTGTTTATATATATCCATTAATTCTTTGAGTTTGATGCATGGTCTACAGGAAAGGACGCAACTGATGATTTTGAGGATGTTGGTCACAGTAGCACCGCAAGAGCAATGATGGATGAGTTTTACGTAGGTGATATTGATACAGCAACCATCCCTGCCAACGTCAAGTACACTCCTCCTAAACAACCTCACTACAACCAAGACAAGACACCAGAATTCATCATCAAGCTCCTGCAGTTCCTTGTTCCCCTGATAATCTTGGCTGTGGCTGTTGGAGTCCGCTTCTATACCAAATCACCTTCAGCATAGCCACAATTAAGAACTTGAAATGTGACCAAAATAAGTTTGTCTTAGTTGTCTTTGTACCCTTGTTGGAGGTGGGACTGTTGCAGACGAGATCTTTGATATCCAAGCATTGAGTGATCAATGTTTGTTTTCTCCTTGCCAGTGTCTTCTTATAAAATTTTATTATTCATGTTTTCATCCTTTTACCTTCCATACGCCACTGGTAAAAATATATTCTCAAATCTTATTAGAGTATGTATTTCGTGATTTTGGAAATATCACTTGGAGAGGATGAGGCTGCTGCCTGCACAGCAACCCCCTATTTAACATAGAGATTGCTGAAATCGATTATAAAACCATGGTAAATTTATAATCTTAATAAAAAGACCAGCATTTTACTAAGTAAATATATAAATTTACATGAAATATTAAATGTAATCTGAATATATTTAGAATTATGCATAAAAGAATAAAAGATATTTA